TAGGCTCTTGGGGACTTCTGAGGGGCCTCCAGGGGGCTTCTACGGGTCTGTGGTTGGCCTTCGGAGGCCGTCTTGGGGGCCTCTCTGGGCAATCGTGGGTACTTATTTAATCGCTTCGCTCATTCCGCCGGCCCATACAGTCTCATGTCTGCCGTTTGCCCGAGGGCCTGGTGTCAATGCGGCGCTTTGGGGGTTCCTGGGGCGCTCGGGGGGGCATTTGGGGGGCCTCCTGGGGCCGCTTGGGGGACTCTTGGGGGCCTCCTGAGGGCCTCGTGGGGGCCTCTTGGGGCCTCTTAGGGGCCTCTTGGGGCCTCGTAGGGGCTTCTTAGGGCCGAGGGCTCGAAATGTTGTTTCGTGTTCCCTCTCTGGGGCCCCTTTGGGGGCGTTCTTGGGGCCCTCTTGGACCGTCTTGGAGGCTTCTTGGGCCGTCTTCGAGCCCTCTTGGGCCATCTTGGGGCCCTCTTGGGGGCCTCTTGGGCCCTCTTGGGGCGATCTTGGGGGCCTCTTGGGCCGTCTTGGGGCGTCGGGAAGCCGAAAAGGTGGAAGCTCCAAAATCTCTCAAAAACCTAAGGAAAATCAATGAATTTTGCCTCCGGAGGCCCTCTTGGGAGTGCTCTTGGAGGCCTCTTGGGGCGTCTGGGGGCCATCTTGGGCGTCTTGGAGCGATCTTGTGGCATGTCGGACCCCTCGTGTACCATCTTGGGGGCCTCTTGGGGGCCTCTTGGTTTTGTTTGGGTCCTCGGGGACGTTTTCGGAGCCCTGTTGGTGCGCTCATGGGGCGCTCGGGGGGACCCGGCCGGGACCTGGTCGGGGTACTTTTCGTCCGGGGACCCCCAGGGGCCGCCCCGCGCGCGCGAACTAGAGAATTGTTAACCAGTTACCGGAGATCTTAGCACGCCTCTGGCCCGTTGGGCCGGCGAATTTGGGCGCTTGTGGGCCATCTTAGAGGTCTGATGGGCCGTCTTTGGGGCCTCTTGGGCCGTCTTCCGGGCCTCTTGGAGGTCTCTTGGACAGTCTCGGGGCGACTGGGGAACCATGGGGCCATATGGCAGTCTTGCAGCGTCGGAAGCCGGAAATGAAGAGAACGTTGAAATTATCGAAGTGCCTTCGGCCATCCCGCCGTTGTGCTTGGTTGTGGGTATGAAGCCTATTGGGTGTTCGTTGGGATCTCGTGGGAGGCCTCTCGGGGGCCTCTTGGGGGCCGTTTAGGGGGCCTCTTTTGGGCCTCTAGGGGGGGCCTCTTGGAGCCTCTTGGGGGCCTCTTGGGGACCTCTCGGGGCCTCTTGGAGGCCTCTTGGAGGCCTCCTGAGGGTCTCTTGGTGCGAAAGTTCTGATCATCGGTTCGTGTGCCCTCTCTTGGGCCCCTTTTGGGGCCGTCTTGGGGCCCTCTTGGGCCGTCTTGGGCGCCTCTTGGGCCGTCTTGGGGCGCTCTTGGGCCGCCTTGGGGCCTTCTTGGAGGCCTCGGCCATCTTGAGGTGGTCTTGGGGGCCTACTGGGCCGTCTTGGAGCGAGGGAAAGCCGAAAAGGCGAGAACGCTAGCATCTTTCAAAAACCTACGGAAAATCAATGACTTGTCCCTTTTGAGGCCCTCTGGGGAAGCCTCTTGGAGGCCTCTTGGGACGTCTTGACGTCTTGGAGACCTCTTGGGCCATCTTGGGCGTCTTGGGCCGATCAGTGTGCGTGTCGGGGCCCTCTTGGGCCGTCTTGGAGGCCGCTTGGGGCCCTCTTGGCCCGTCTTGGGGTCCTCTTGGGCCCGAACAATTCACGCGCCCCCGCTTCCCAAAGCCCAGGGGGCGCGCGGGAAACCCCAGGGGGCACGCGAGAAGCCCCAAGAGACTTCGGAGTTTGGGGTCTGAGGCTTCGAGGAGTGGGCCAGGACCTGAGGACACGCCCACTCCGAGCCCAGCGGCACGGTGGCGGATTGAAGAGCATCCGGGGAATGAATGAGTTTGGTTTTCTGGAGGTCCTCTGGGACACCTCTTGGAGCGTGTTGGGAGCTTCTTGGGCCGTCTGAAGGACATTTTGGACCGTCTTGGGACCATCTTGGCCGTCTTGGAGGCCATCATCTCCATATCATGAGGATACCTCAGGCGAAACGCTTGTTCTGGAGGTGGGTCTAGTGCAGACCCTGATCGTGTTGGACAAGGTGGCGGGATCGGCCGAGATCACGCTGGGAACTTGAATGGAGGTTTCAAACACAGAGCTTCGGCACGCCAGGCCCCCCCGCTAATAAATCAACATGAGGCGGCGGCGCTAGTGGACTGCGGTCTATCCAGTCGCCGTACTTGGCTCGTGGACCAGAGGGGAGGCCTCTCGGGCTTCCTTGGGGTCACTTGGGCGGCTGGAGGAGGAGGAGGAGGAGGAGGAGCAGGAGGAGGAGGAGGAGGAGGAGGAGGAGGAGGAGTCTTGGGAGGGTGCCTTCCGGGGGTATTTCGGACCCTCATGATCCGTCTCGGAACGTCTAGGGCTCTCTTTGGTTGTCCTGGTGTTGCCTGTGGCCGCCTTGGCGCTCTCTTTGTTTGTCTTGGGCTCCACCGGATGCTATGATGAGCTGTCTTATGGACCTCGTGGGGCCCTCCTCAGCAGTTTTGCGTGGTTATTTGGACCATCGTGGGCAGCGATGGAGCTCGCTGAAATCGTCTTGAAACCATGTTGAGCTGAGAAACCATCGCGTTCTGGCAATTTTGGATGTACCCAGCTTCTCGCATTTTGAAGCCCCCTTAGATGGTTTTGTGGGCCTCGTGTGGTCTCTTTAGGCTTCGTGGAACTTCCCGAGGGTCTCCTGTCATTCCCAACTCTCCTGTGTTGGATTTTCGTTTTGACTAGAGCACAGTTGACCCCACCTCCTCTCCTCTACCTCCTCCTCCTGTCGCCTCTTCCTGCCTCCTCCTGCGCCGCTCCCTGGGGAGAGCCGCGCAACGGTCGCCACTTTCGTGGGCTCCTGGGAGGCACGGCGGAGTCGGGGGGCAAATGGACCCAGCCGAGACTTCGCAGCTCCTTGGGGGGCTGCGCCCTGCGCACCGGCCGCCACTTTCGTGGGCTCCCGGGAGGCACGGCGGAGTCGCGGAGTAAACGGATCCAGCGGAGATTTTGCATCTTTTTTGGGGGGTTGCGCTCTTCGCAGCGGTCGCCTCTTTTGTGTGCTCCTCGGAGGCACGGGTGAGTCGCGGAGTAAACGGATCCAGCCGAGACATCGCAGCTCTTTGGGGGGGCTGCGCTCTGCGCACCAGCCGCCGCTTTCGTGGGCTCCTGGGAGGCACGGCGGAGTCGCGGAGTAAACGGATCCAGCCGATACCTCGCAGTTCCTTGGAGGGCCGCGAATTGCGCAACGGTCGCCACTTTTGTAGGCTTCTGGCAGGCACGGCGGAGTCGGGGAGTACGCGCACCCAGCCGAGACCTCGCAGCTCCTTGGGAGGGCTGCGAACTGCGCAACTGTCGCCATGTTCGTGGGCTCCTGGGAGGCACGGCGGAGTAGAGGAGTACGCGGACCAATCCGAGACCTTGCAGCTCCTTGGGTGGCTGCGAATTGCGCAATTGTCGCCAATTTCGTGGGCTCTTGGGAGGTCCAGCGGAGTCGGGGGCCACGCGCACCCAACCGAGACCTCGCAGCTCCTTGGGGGGGCTGCGAACTGCGCAACTGTCGCCATGTTCGTGGGCTCCTGAGAGGCACGGCGGAGTAGCGGAGTACGCGGACGCAGCCGAGATTTTGCAGTTCTTTTGGTGGTTGCGAATTGCGCAATTGTCGCCAGTTTCAGTTCGTGGGAGGTGCAGCGGAGTCGGGGGGCGTGCGCACCCAGCCGAGACCTCGCACCTCCTTGGGGGGTGCTAACTGCGCATTTGTCGCCACTTTCGTGGGCTCCTGGGGGGTCCAGCGGAGTTGGGGGCCACGCGCACCCAGACGAGACTTCGCTGCTCACTGGTTGGCTGCGCTTTGCGCAATTGTTGCTGCTTTCGTGGGCTCCTGGGAGGCACGGCGGAGTCGGAGGGCGTGCGCACCCAGCCGAGGCCTCGCACCTCCTTGGGGGGTGCTAACTGCGCATTTGTCGCCACTTTCGTGGGCTCCTGGGGGGTCCAGCTGAGTTGAGGTCCACGCGCACCCAGCCGAGACCTCGCAGCTCCCTGGGGGGGTGCGAACTGCGCAAACTGTCACCACTTTCGTGGGCTTCTGCGAGGTCCACTGAAGTTGGGGGCCACGCGAACCCAGACGAAACCTCGCTGCTCCCTGGGGGGCTGCGAACTGCGCAACTGTCGTCGCTTTGATGGGATCCCGAGATGTATGAAGGAATCGGGGGCCACGCGCACCCATCCGATGCTTCGCTGCTCCTTGGGTGGCTGCGCTTTACGCAATTGTTGCCGCTTTCGTGGGCTCCTGGGAGGTGCAGCGGAATTGGGGGGCACGAGCACCCAGCAGAGAACTCGCACCTCCTTGGGTTGCTGCGAACTGTGCAATTGTCGCCACTTTCGTGGGCTCCTGGGAGGTGCAGCGGCGTCG